TGGATGATATGGCTTCTAGGAGAAAGCTTATCGTTAAAAGCATCTTGGGCATGTATTTCACTATCCAGAAATCACCAGATAGTCAATGTGGGTAAATGATTTAAAGCTCTCCAATGAAGAACACAATCATCGTTGAGCCTAGACTTTTTCATTTATTGCACTGGGAAAGGACATTTTGGAAACAACTGTTCTGTTCTGTGAAGCAGCAAAACACTTCAGACCTACCAAGAGCATCTATCACTCCTGGTCCGTCACAGCTGCTGGTCTCATTCCAGCATCCTGGCTTTGGCTATGATGCACTCTCCCTGTCTGTCCATCTGCAAGGTTACTTATGTAGCCATTGAGTGGAGACCAAACCTGATTTAGGCCAGCCAAGCCTGCAGTCTTATGCTTGTGATATTGTGTTAGTAACACATGCTGCAAGTTCCCTATCTGTCCTGCTCTGCTGTTTGTATTCCCTTGTTGACGACCTTGGATCAGATATTGACTACTCTCTGAACTCTGCCTGCCTTTTGACTACGGATCTGACTTGACTATCCTGAACCTTGACTGCCTTGTACCTGAACTGTCTTTGAACCACTCTGCCTGTCTTCCAATAGCAAGTACCTGTTTGCTGTGCTCTGTTTGCTCAGTTTGCGCCTGCCCCAGTATGGTGGCCAGGCACTACAGCATTATGCGTAAGTCCTGGGTGCAACCAGGTACCGGTAGGCCTGCTTGCCTTTTGGGAAAAACACAGAAGCCAGCCTGACCACCTGAGTTATAGGTAAGCGTGACAAGACCTTGGGATGACACAGAGAACATTCCCCTGGTTTTGCATCTCTATTTCTACCAAGAAAAGTTACATTCACTTTTTGATTTAACAACCGCTTAACTACAATACTGATTTACTGATCAAGTGTCTAAAAACAGATATCTCTGCTCCCATTGAAGATACACTTCTGATATTAGAGTGTCAATTAGAGTGCAGTTTTGGTACAACAATTACACAAATGAACCATCTACCAATGCAGTCTATGCTAACCATCCACTACTATGATCAGAGACTATACACGCAGTTCTAAAGCCCTATTGTTACAAGAAGGGAGATAAAAAGGTAGCATCCTACTCTGTAGTTTGCCCTGATGTTGAGGCTTGCTATGAAAAACTCTATTGTAGTATTAATCTACTACTATTAACCTACACTAGTAGCAAGTGTTTTAACTGCTGCTTTTGATTCCCTGCTAATGTACAAGTGTTCTTTTTTAGTAGAACCACTATTAACTGCTATTATTAGCTAATGCTTCTTTCTATTATAAGATTTCAAGATAAGAACCTTGTATGGAAAAAAAAAAATACCTTTTTTTAAGTTTAGGATAGAATAGGAAGTGGCTTAGATCTCTTCTCTTTTGTCACATTGAGTACACTTTCATTTATTTCTTGTTCCAAAGACACAACATGAAAGAGTGCCTCCTTAGATATTGGCCATTGGAACAGGTGTCCCCATTGGCGGATATCAGCTCATCTACTATTTCAGGGAAAACACTAACAATTTGTTTAGTGAAACACATTAGATTTTTATGCTATAAGTGTCTGAATAAAGAAAATCTGGACTTCATGAGTTCTGATTTTGTCATCTTCCTCCTAGCACACCCAGCTTTAAACACCTGACAATTTCCTTCCATACTCCATGCAAAAAACTAAAAAAAGGATTGGGGCTTACATATACTTTAATCTCTTTCAAGTGAACCGCTTGTTTTTTTACAAAAATAAAATAAATAGGGTCTGTTTATGTTAGAGTCTAAGAGGGGAAGTAGTAAAAAAAAAAAAATTAAATTACAACGTTTAACCATGCCTTATGATAAGTTTCTTATGAAAACATTCAATTTAAAAACATAAATATCACATCGGTGTGGAGTCAGATACTGAGATGAGCGAAGTATTCAAAAATTCGATTCGACTGATTCGGCGAATTCGAGGAAAAATTTTGATTCGAGTCGAATATATTCGCTGCGAATTTAACTTATAAAAGGGTGTTTCTAGGCTTCAGATGAGCCTTTATATTAGTGCAGAACACTGTACCTTTAATTTAAATGCCGCTTGGAGTCTGCTGGGGAAGAGAAATAATACTGACAGTCAGTATGACATGCAGATGAACGTGCCGTCGATCTTAGAATCACCGCACACTTCACTCATTTGGGCAGTCCTCGGGGCCAAAACCAGAGTGTGGAGCCACAGTGTGACGGTGGAGCAATGGGAGGCCATACAGCACCCTATGACAAAAATGGAAACCACCAGCAGTGTGAGGAGACCTGAAAGTGGCACATGGCAGAGTGTGGCGATGGAGACAGCAGCAATGGGAGGCCGTACAGGGACCCATGGACACACTCTGGACCTGGCAGATGCAGCATGAGGAGGCGGTTAGGTACAGGGGCCCATGACAGATTATACTGGGCCTGGCAGCAGCATGAGGAGTCGGTACGGGGGCCCATGGCAGATTAGGGGCCTGGCAGCAGCTATGGGAGGCCCGTAATCTGCCAGCACCCTAATGACAAAAAAATGGAACACACCAGCAGTGTGAGGAGACCTGAAAGTGGCACATGGCAGAGTGTGGCGATGGAGACAGCAGCAATGGGAGGCCGTACAGGGACCCATGAGAGACTCTGGACTTGGCAGCAGCATGAGGAGGCGGTATAGGGGCCCATGGCAGATTAGGGGCCTGGCAGCAGCTATGGGAGGCCCGTAATCTGCCAGCACCCTATGACAAAAAGTGGAACACACCAGCAGTGTGAGGAGACCTGAAAGTGGCACATGTTTTGGGGCATGATTCATGGCGGATTTTTTTTTTGTCAGTTGTGTCAGGAACTGGTGGTTTGAAATCCAGACTAATCCAAACGCCTGATTCATTTTCACAAACGTGAGTCTCTCCACACTTTGGGTGGATAGTCGTGTCCTCCGCGGAGTTACAATACCTCCTGCCGCACTAAACACGCGCTCCGATGCCACGCTACTGGCCGGGACATGACAGCCTTTCAAGGGCAAATTCAGCTTTCTTGGGGCCAAAGGTCCAAGTTTCGTTGCCAGTAGTCAAGGGTATTGTCGCACGCGCTAACCACTCGGCGTTGGCAGGGTGTGCTGTCCAAGTAGGCCTAAGCCTGTTGTTTGAGGTCCTGCTCCAGGTCCACCTGATGCTGCTGCTGCAGCTAGCTGTCTGTGGCCTGGTTAGTAGTTTCCTCACTGCGCTGGTGAAGAAAGCTACTCATCATCGACTGCAGACTGAGGCAGCTGCTGCTGGTGGAGCTGCCACTGCTCTACCACCCCACCCCTCCCCTGCTGCCATGGCAGCGGAACGCGAGCGCACAGGGCCCACAGTGTCTGAGGATGGACGTTTGGCGCAGAAAGGCAGAGACCAGCTGACTACATAGGTGGTTTTTATAGTACGGTTATTTTGGCCTCCTCTCTCAGCTGGTGTGAAAAAGGCCACACATTTTTGAACGGTAGCGAGGGGTCCAACAAGGTGGACAGCCAAAAGTCATCCCTCTGTCTGATGGTTATTATTAGGCTGTCGGTACGCAAGCAAAGCGAGCATGCAATGGGCCATTTGTGCCAAGGAATGCGAGGGACTCCCTGCCTCCATCTCCACAGCATACTGCCACGGTGCGTCTGGGTCCTCTGTCTCCTCTTCCTCCTCCTTAACCAGATGCTCCTGCTCCTCCACTCCTGTCCGCGTGAGTGGAAAAACACCCATTTCATCTCAATAATTCCTGAGCACCAATGTCCTCCTCTACCTCCTCCTCTTCTTCCTGTCCTGCCCCCACAAAGGGGTCATGTGGCGTTGAGATCTGTGCGCCACGTCTACCGCACTCTGACCAGCATTGTTAACAGCATTTGTTCCAGGTACCGTGGCAACAGAGGAATGACGTCGTTCATCCCATAGTCCTGCCGACTCACGAATAGCGTGGCCTCCTCAATAAGGGCTGAGCAAGCGCAGTCGTGTCACGTATGAGCTGCCAATGGCTGAACATCTTAAGTTACACAGGGAGTACCTTTATCCGCTTTTTACACATCAGGAAAAAAATCTGTGATGGCCTATTCGCTGTTCGTAAAAGGCGGTCTAATTCATATGTCGGGTTTGAATTCCCACCTTGGTTGCAACGTCCACAGCTATGATGATTGTAGTCGGTCACGGGGGCCCATGGGCAGATTACGGGCCTGGCAGCAGCAATGGAGGACCGTAATCTGCCAGCACCCTATGACAAAAAAATGTAACACAACCAAGCAGTGTGAGGAGATACTGAAAGTGGCACATGCAGCAGTGTGTGGCGATGGAGGACAGCAGCAAATGGGAAGGCCGTCACAGGACCCAATGAGAGACTCTGGAACTTGGCTCAAGGCTCCAGCGATGTCGGAAGAAGGCAGTAAAGGGGCCCATGGCAAAGTATTAGGGGCCTGTGGATCAGCAGCTATGGGAGGCCCGTTAAACTGCAGCACCCTATGACAAAAAAATGGAACACACCAGCAGTGTGAGGAGACCTGAAAGTGGCACATGGCAGATGTGGCGATGGAGACAGCAGCTATGTGGAGGGCCAGTGCGAGCAGAGGCCTCTAGTCCTGGGCAGGCATGAGGAGGTACAGGGGCCCATGGCTGATTAGGGGGACCTGGCAGCAGCTTATGGGAGGCCTGTAATCTGCCAGCACCCTATGGTCAAAAAATTGGAAACACACCAGCAGAGTGTGAGGAGACCTCAAAGTGGCACACAGGCAGAGTCACTGGCGATGGAGACAGCAGCATGGGAGGCCGTTATCAGGGACCCATGAGAGACTCCTGGACTGGCAGCAGCATGGAGGAGGCCGGTATATCTAGGGGCCCATGGCAGATTAGGAACACTGGCAGCAGCTGTGGCTCGGAGGCGTCCGAAAGTGGCTCTGTCTGCAGACCCTTGTGGTCAAAAAATTGAAACACACCAGCAGTGTGAGGAGACCTGAATTAGTGGCACCATGTGCATGAGACACTGTGGACCTGGCAGCAGTATGCATGAGGCAGGAGGCTGGTAACAGGGGCCCATGGCAGATTAGGGGCCTGGCAGCAGCTAAGGGAGGCCCGTTAATCTGCCAGCACCCTATGTACAAAAATATTGAACACACCAGCAGTGTGTGAGGGAGACCTGAAAGTGGCACATGGAGAGTGTTGGCGATGGAGACAGCAGCAATGGGAGGCCGTGACAGGGGACCCAATGAGAGACTCTGAATTTGGGCAGCAGCAGATGATGGGAGGGGGTGCCCGTATAGGGGCCCACCCTATGGCAGAATAAGGGGCCTTGGCACCAGCCAGTTATTGGAGGCCCGTAATCAGCCAGACCCTATGTCAAAAAAATATGCAACACACCAGCAGTGTGGCGATGGAGACCTGCAAAGTGTGGCACATGGGACATGAGACACTGTGGACCTGGCAGCAGCATATGAAGAGGCGGTACAGGGGCCCATGGCAGATTAGGGGCCTGGCAGCACTGCTATGGGAGGCCCGGTCGTAATCTGCCAGCACCCATTATTATGACAAAAAATGAAACACACCAGCAGTGTGAGGAGACGTTGAAAGTGGCTACATGGCAGGGGCATGATTCATGGAGGATTTTAGTCCAGTTGTGTCAGGAACTGGTGGTTTGAAATCCAGACTAATCCACGCCTGATTTCATTTTCACAAACGTTGAGTCTCTCCACACACTTTGGTTGGATAGTCGTTTGAGGGTCCTCCGCGGAGTTACAATTATACTCCTGCAGCACTAAAAGACGCGCTCTGATCTCCACGCTATACTGGTCAGGGCATGACAGCCTTTTTCAAGGGCAAAATTCAGCTAGTTGGGGCCTCAAAGCGTCAAGTTTCGTTGCCCAGTAGTCAAGGGGATTGTCTACCTCAGGTTGGCAACAAGGTGCTGTCCAAGTAGCCCTAAGCCTGTTCGTTTGAGGTCCTGCTCCAGGTCCACCTGATGCTGCTGCTGCTGCGGCTGGTTAGTAGTTTCCTCACTGCGCTGGTGAGGAAAGCTACTCATCATCGACTGCAGACTGAGGCAAAGAGCCGCTGCTGGTGGAGCTACCACTGCTCCTACCACCCACCCATCCCCTGCTGCCCATGGCAGCAGGAACGCGAGCGCGCACAGGGCCAACAGTGTCTGAGGATGGACGTTGGCGCACATAAGGCAGAGACCAACTGACTACATAGGTGGTTTTTATAGTACGTTATTTTGGGCCTCCTCTCAGCAGGTGTGAAAAAGGCCACCATTTTGGAACGGTAGCGAGGTGGTACTCAACAAGTAGGTGGACAGTGCCAAAAGTCATCCCTCTGTCTGATGGTTATTATTCGGCTGTCGCTACGCAAGCCAATCCGAGTATGCTATGGGCCATTTGTGCCAAGGAATGCGAGGGACTCCCTGCCTCCATCTCCACAGCATACTGCCACGGTGCGTCTGGGTCCTCTGTCTCTCCTCCACTCTCCTCCTCTACCAGATGCTCCTGCTCCTTCCACTCCTGTCCGCTGAGTGGAAAAGAAAAACCACCCCATTTCACTCATAATTATTCCTGAGCACAAATGTCCTCCTCTTAACCCTCCTCCTCTTCTTCCTGTCCTGCCCCACAGGGGTCATGTGGCGTTGAGATCTGTGCGCCACGTCTACCGCACCCTGACCAGCCATTGTTAACAGCATTTGTTTCCAGGACGTGCAACAGAGGAATGACGTTGTTCATCCCATTAGTCCTGGCGACTCACGAATAGCGTGGCCTCCTCAAAGGGCCTGAGCAAGCGGCAGGTGTCACGCATGAGCTGCCAATGGCTGGAACATCGAAGATACACAGGGGAGTACCTTTTTAAATCCGCTTGTAACATCAGGAAATCGGTGATGGCCTTTCGCTGTTCGTAAAGAGCGGTCTAACATGCTGTAGGGTTTGAATTCCACCTTGTTGCAACGGTCGCAGGCGATTTCTTCTGCCGCTGCAGCTCAAGGAGGGTGTGCTTTGCGGTGTAGGAATGGCTTGAAATGCATGCAAAGTTTACGTGACATTTTAAGGATGTCTTGCAGTGGGATGGTGGATTTTTGGAACCGCGATTGACAACCAGATTGAACACGTGAGCCATAGCATGGCGCATGGCACAACTTTCCTTGACGCAGAGCAGACACCATGTTTCTTTCCGTTGTCGGTCAACATGTTCCGAATTTGAGTGTGCGCGGAGACAGCCATCTGTCGATTTCTCTGTTCATTACACTGAGAAGTTCCTCCCCTGTGTGACTATAGTTCGCCAAGGCATACCAGGTGCAGCACACGTGACACGCGTATGTGATATGGCCGGTCGGGTAATGGGACTTGGCACGGGTGGGGTGGCGGCTGCTGAGGACACGGCGGAAGAAGAGGTAGGTAGAGGCGGACATCTTTTGTGGACCCAAGGACGTGCAAACGTGGAGGCAAAAGCGGCGTGACCTGTCCCAAGTTGCTGGTGCGGCTGTGACGGCACCACGGTCACCCAGTGGGCCCGTAAATGACATTTACTGTCCCCTGACCGTAGTTACACAGCTCCACACGTCGGCGCGCTGCCAGTGCACTTTGGCAGAGACCAGACATGCTCAAAGACTGGCCCACCATCTCTTCTACATGTGAATGCAGGGCTGGCACTGCCTTTTTGGCGAAGAAAATGACGGCTTGGCACTCCACCACCACGTGGCGCGGCACAAGCCATCATTTCTCGGAAAGGTGCTGAGTCCACCACTTGGAAAGGGAGGGACTGCTAGCACACCAGCAACTTGGACAGGAGGACGTTCAGCTTTTGCACCGTCGGGTGCGTGCTCGCAAACTGTTGTCTCTTGGAAACGGATTCCAAGAAAGACTGCTGACGGAATCCGTGAAGAGGAGTAGCAGGAGAAGGGAGCATCTGAACGAGCGGAAGATGGCAACGAGCGACAACTCCCCTCAGCAGAGGGTGTTGGAGCCTTGACTGGCTGATAGAGGGCGATTGACGTCGGGTGACGGAGCAAGTAACGGAGCGGGTGATGGAGCGGGGCTGGGGGCGGGCAGAACGGCCGTATCTTTATCACGGTTTTCCCAGGCCACCAAATGGCGACGCTGCATATGCTGCCGCAACGCTGTAGTCTCCCGAACATGGGCCCCCTGGCCACGCTTGACTTTCTGGCCACATAGTCGACATAAAAAACTACGGCTACGTTTACTTCCTCGGGCGGCTTGACAAAAAATTGCCCTACACCGCCGAGTAGGAAACTTTTGCCCCCGATACTCCTCACTGGCTGACTGCTGCTGCTTCCTCCGTGCACACCGGCACCAACTACTGGCCGAGGTGGTAGGCTGCAGTGGAGCTGGTGCTGTACTCCGTGGCCGTTTGCCTCCACTGACACTGCTGCAGACCCTGCTGCCTCCTGGGCAACCCACCGACTGTTTTGCTCGCTGGCCAAGCTGCCACCCTCTTCTCCTGATGATTCGGAAGCAATAGCCTGATGACGACGAGGCTGCCAAGTGCGATCAGCCTCATCATCATTCTATTAGGGTCTCCGCCTCACTACTACCCCCTCGCCCCTCGCTGCGTGTGGGTCAGGAGACAGACCTGTCCCCTCTAGACCGGCTACCGAGCCACTCCCTCTCTCCTCGCCACTACTTCTTCGCCTGGCTGCTGAAGAGGCGGATTCTCCCCCCGTTCCCTGACGCCCTCTGTTAGCTCTTCCTCACTGTACAGTGGGGACTGAGCCCACAGCAAGCGATACTTCGCTTGGTGAGGGAACACCAAAGGACAGGGGCAGGTAGAGGACACGTGATTTCAGTGGGCTTGCTCCCGGGCCATGCCAACTAACGGTTGTGTCTGACGTACCCACCGACCATTGGCTGTAGGTGTCAGAGGTGACCTGGGAAGAGGAAGACGACCGAGCCAACCAATCGATGACGGAGGCAGGGTTGTCGGTGGAGACACGACCGCTGGATGACACCGGAGCACCTGGCCTCTGGCTGCGAATAGTGCTGCCTCGACCCCTTCCTCTGCTGCCACGTCTGCTCACTCCTAAAACATTGCCTCCTCTGCCACTCCTCTGCATGTTGTCCTGACATTACTCTTTCAATTAAACGATTCTGTGTCCCTGAGTAACAATTCTTGTGTCCCTGAGTAACCATGTTCTGTGGCCCTAAGTAACAGTTCTGTGGCCCTCGTCAGTAACATTCTGTGTCCCCTCTCAGAACAATTCTGTGTCCCAGTCAAGCGAACAATTCTGTGTCTGTCCCTGAGTAACAATTTCTGTGTCTGCTCCCCTGAGTAACAATTCTGTGTCCCTGAGTAACGTTTCTCTGGCCCTAAGTAACAGTTCTGTGGCCCTCAGTAACAATTCTGTGTCCCTCAGTAACAATTCTGTGTCTGTCCCTGAGTTACAATTCTGTGTCTGTCCCTGAGTAACAATTCTGTGTCCCTGTAGTAACAATTCTGTGTCCCTCAGTAACAATTCTGTGTCCCTCAGTAACAATTCTGTGTCCCTGAGTAACAATTCTGTGTGCCCTGAGTACTAATTCTGTGTCCCTCAGTAACAAGTCTGTGTCCCTCGAGTAACAATTCTGTGTCTGTCCCTGAGTAACAATTCTGTGTCCCCTAAGTAACGTTTCTGTGGCCCTAAGTAACGTTCTGTGGCCCTCAGTAACAAATCTGTGTGTCCCTCAGTAACAATTCGTGTGTCTGTCCCTGAGTAACAATTCTGTGTCCATAAGTAACGTTTCTGTGGCCCCTAAGTGTACGTGTTCTGTGGCCCCAAAGTAACGATTCTGTGGCCCTTAAGTAACGTTTCTGTAGTCCTAAGTAACGGTTTCTGTGGCCCTAAGTAACGTTCTCTGTGGCCCTAAGTAACAGTTTATCTGTGGCCCTCAGTAACAATTCTGTGTCCCTCAGTAACAATTCTGTGTCTGTCCCTGATGTGGTAACCAATTCTGTGGTCCCTAAGTAACGTTTCTGTGTCCCTAAGTAACGTTTCTGTGGCCCTAAGTAACGATTCTGTGGCCCTAAGTAACACGAATTCTGTGGCCCCTAAGTAACGATTTCTGTAGCCCTAAGTAACGTTTCTGTGGCCATAAGTAACGTTTCTGTGGCCCTAAGTAACAGTTCTGTGGCCCTCAGTAACAATTTCTTGTGTCCCTCAGTAACAATTCTGGTGTCTGTCCCTGAGTAACAATTCTGTGTCCCTAAGTAAACGTTTCTGTGGCCCTAAGTAACGGTTTCTGTGGCCCTAAGTAACGTTTCTGTGGTCCCTAAGTAACAATTCTGTGCCTAAGTAACGATTCTGTGTCCCTAAGTAACGTTTCTGTGGCCCTAAGTAACGGTTCTGTGGCCCTCAGTAGTAACAATTCTGTGTCCTCAGTAACAATTCTGTGTCTGTCCCTAAGTAACAATTCTGTGGCCCTAAGTAACGTTTCTGTGGCCCTAAGTAACCGTTTCTGTGTCCCTCAGTAACAATTCTGTATCCCTCTCAGTAACAATTCTGTG